CGATTTCAGAAAGTTAAACGCGAAGACTGTTCGCGATGCCTTCCCTCTACCGCGCATAGAGGAGTCACTAGAGGCTCTACAGGGTGCTAAGTATTTCTCTGCGATCGACTTAGCTCATGGCTACCATCAGGTTGCCATGGATCCTGGTTCTGTAGAGAAAACAGCATTTCGCATTCCCTTTGGGTTATACGAATTCACACGAATGTCGTTCGGGTTGGCAAATGCGCCAGGGACGTTTCAAAGGGTAATGGAGCAGTGTTTGGGCGACATGAACTTATCAGAGTTGCTGATATATCTAGATGATATATTAGTGTTTTCTTCTACTGTAGAAGAACATTTGGAACGCTTAGACAAGGTTTTCTCTAAGCTTGGAGAGTTCGGCTTGAAAATTAAGGGCAAAAAGTGTTCCTTGTTTCGCAGCGAGGTGCACTATCTCGGGCATGTTGTCAGTGCACAGGGAATCTCGGTCGATAGCGATAAGATACAACGTGTTCAGGATTGGCCAGTGCCAAAGGGGCCAGAGGAACTTCGGTCGTTCCTAGGCCTGGCGAGCTATTATCGTCGTTTCGTAGAAGGTTTTGCCAAGGTGGCTGCGCCGCTGCATGCTGTGCTGCCTCCTGTCAATAAGGGTAAACCTCGATCGACCACTGGGTTTAAGTGGGGTTCAGAGGCGCAGGCTGCGTTTGAGAAGCTGAAGCAATTGTTAGTGCAGGCCCCAGTGTTGGCCTATCCTGATTTTACGCGACCCTTTGTGCTTGAAGTTGATGCTTCCTTAAAGGGGCTGGGTGCTTGTTTGGTGCAGCGCGATGACGAGGGGAGGCTTCATCCTGTCGCTTATGCGAGTAGAGGTTTAAGGGGTGCAGAGTCGAAATACCCAGATTACAGTTCGTTCAAGCTTGAGTTGCTGGGCTTGAAGTGGGCAGTCGTGGATAAATTTCGAGACTATTTGATCGGCAGCACATTCACAGTTTTAACGGATAATAATCCGTTGGCACACCTGAACACAGCTAAGTTGGGTGCCAGTGAAATGAGATGGGCAGCACAGCTTGCAGCGTTCAGCTTTGACATTAAGTATCGGTCAGGCGCCAGCAATCGTTGTGCGGATGCTTTAAGCCGGCATCCGAGAAACTGCTCCCATGAGGTAGTTGAAGCTGTTCTTCAAACGAAGACGCATTCAACTTCAGTTCCATTACATGTAGGTGCATGTAATTCCAAGTGCGCGTTCACGAAGGATAAGCCGTTAGAATCCGGTCCACCAGGAGTTTTTCCGTCCTGGTCGAGTGAGCAGCTTTTAGCTCTTCAAAGGTCTGATCCATTGTTGAGTATTGTTTGGGAACGCTGGGACCAGAGTTGGTCACCGGGAGAAGTAGTACACGGTGATCGGGAAGATCCACCAGGGTTGAAGCATTGGTTGTGGCAGTGGTCGCGCTTTGCGGTACGAGACGGTGTCCTGTGTCGAAGGGTTGAAGATCCTGTGGTTGGGGAGGTATTTCAAATACTTATGCCCGACACCATTCGCTCTAGGGCTATGGAAGGCTGCCACGATGGTTGGGGTCATCAGGGGGTTGCACGAACGAGTTCACTTTTGCGCAAGCGCGTTTATTGGCCGAACATGACCGCAGATGTGCGGGCTCACATACGGAAATGCGAACGTTGTGTGGCGGCGAAGGTGTCCGAACCCATTCCGAAGGTTCCGATGCGTCACTTATTAGCTTTCAGGCCCTTGGAAGTACTGGCCATTGACTTTGTTAAGATTGACAGGGGTCGTGGTGGATACGAGGATATTCTTGTTATGACCGATGTGTACACGAAATATACTCAAGCTGTACCATGTAGGGACCAATGTGCCGAAACTGTCGCTAAGGTGCTCAGAGACAGTTGGTTTACGAGATTCGGCATCCCAAACAGATTGCATAGCGATCAGGGTAGGAATTTTGAGGGGGAATTGGTCCGTGAACTATGCACATTGTATGGTATCAAAAAGTCACGAACAACGCCGTATCACCCGGAAGGAAATGGGCAGACGGAAAGATTCAATAGAACCTTGTTTGGATTGATCAAGTCATTCAGCGAACACGAGCGCAAACGATGGCTTGACTTTTTGTCACACCTTGTTTTTGTTTACAATTCCACACCTCACTCCACCACCGGCGTAACCCCGTACACATTAATGTTCGGAAGGGAACCATTGATTCCATTGGACCAAATTTTGGGTCGGACAGATAGTAATTGGGAACAGAATTTTGTCAGGGAACAATCGGAGCTGCTTGAGAGAGTAGGGGCCTTGGTAAAAGAGAGGGTAGAAAAAAGAGCACGTCAGAACGAAAACGCACATAGTAACAGAGCTACTGCGGCACCTTTACCAGTGGGTTCACGAGTTCTTTTAAGGAAATGCGCGTTCAAGGGCCGTCACAAACTAGAAGACGCATACTGTAGAGAATCGTATGTAGTGGCATGGCAGAATGTCCACGGGGATGTATATCGCATTCGACCAATTAATGGAGGACCGGAGAAGACGGTCAACCGTAAATATTTACGAGTGGATCCACTTGCAGATCCAGAGTCTGGCGATGACTTTGAGAGTAGTGATGAGTCCGAAAACGACTTTATTGTGACCAAGTCTGAACCAAGTAACTCAGCAGTTGACCGAGGGGTACAGGATAATAAAGTAGGGGAGCCCCATAGGGTCTCAGAGTTAGATCACGAACAACCTCGGAGAACATCACGGAGAAGAACTAAGGGTGTTCATTCAAACCCACACAGGCTGCCCTGCTCTGTTCTGAAATAGTCTTGGTGTGAGGGTTTAGCCTGTGGCTGCATGGGACTCGGACATACTCTGTGGAAGAGACTTGGGGTATCCAGTCTTCCTGTGAGTGAGTCCGACCCCATGTGGTCGCCTTGCTCTACTTCTCACTTGGAAATGGTCCATGCGGCTCAGGCCGGTGTATGCATGTACATGATGTACCACTTGGTAAATAAGCATTACCAGTTGGGTTTTGAAATTACAAAATGTATTCAGTTCCAGAAGAATGTAAATCTAAAGATTATAGATTGCATGATTTATATAGACAAATTGTTTGAAGCTCGAGTTGAAGAGGGGGAGATACCCTCTAGCAGCATTACCATTATGGGATTTGTGTTATTTGGACACAGTTTTGTTAGGCGTTTCTCAGGAAGGCGAGAAGCAACAGTAAATATAGATTTAGAGAGGAAAAGAGTACCTCTTTCTTGTTTGGGGGAAGGAGGATTGACACTAAGTCGCATTAATGCCAGTCGTTGTCGTTATTACCGTATGATTGCCAGAGTACAGCCCTCTATTTTGATAATTGATCTAGGGACTAATGATTTGGGTACAGTTGGTGTATCATCAAAGGATGTGTTTGACTTACTTTGTTCCTTTGTTCGGGATCTGCCAAGGTTTGGTATTAGTCCTTGTGTAGTGGTGTTTTTGCCTGTCTTGCCACGTACAGGTAATATGAGGCAGAATCAAGTATCTGTCTCTGAATTTAATGAGAAGGCAGAGGTCTTCAACAAGCTGCTTGAAGCGGAAACTCTTAAGGAGGACCGTTGGTGGGTCTGGCATCACCGTGGTTTGAAGCACCCACGTTTTAATCTGGACGGTGTGCACCTCAATCGATGGGGAATGTCCCAATACGAGAGAACCCTCAGACAGCTTGTTAAATTTTTCGAAAGTAAATTTTGGTAAATATTCAAAAGGAACCAGACACATTGTTTAAGCATTAAGCTTTATTCTTAATGTTTTATTTAGTGTTTAACTTGTTATAGTAATGTTAGCGTTTATAAATCTTTAAATCAAGGTGATCTCCAGGAGAAGATCAATTCAGTAGGGGAGTTTGTGGAGAAATGACTTATGATAGTGATTTGTTGTTGATCATTCACAAATTTGGCCAACAGAGGGCGCTCGCCTACTCACCGTTAAATTGCCAAAAGCTGGCCTCCCAGGTGTGTGCACAATATTCTAAAAATAGAACGTGTATCCATGCAGCGCAGGGATATGTCTGCAAAGACTGGCATTCGGTGTCGTGTAAGATAATATAGGGCCTCATTAATGATTGTTTGGTGCTTATAAAAGACTGTATCTTACATAATTTGGTAGTTAAGTATACTCTTTGTATATTACTAAGGTTCTTTAGAGTGATACAAAAGCTGTTTATTCTAAGAGAAGGGAGAGGTAACCCAGACAGCGGTAAACAGGCTTCGCGGGGCAGTGCTCCGGAACTATACTAGTGAAAACGAGAAGAATAGAAATCTGTGTCAGTCACGGGAAGAGATGAGAGGAATGGTCTCCGAGTTGGGGAAAATACAGAGATAAATCCCCCGAATACCACTGGAAATCATGATGAAAGCTACTGTTTGTCGTGCTTAGCCTGGTGCAGCGACTGGCTACCTCCTTCCCTTCGACCCTGAGCAACCAATGAAGACGAATGAACATTAATTAATGAATAAATAATCAGTGATTCTCCGGTGAAACTTAATCTCCGCTGTGTGTGTGTGTGTATGTCAACTCGCCCCCAACGAGACTCAAGCCCCACGGCGCTACTCCGCGCTCACTACAATGGCATTCACAATAAAGGCTTTATAAAAACTGGCAGCCATTTTGCAGAAAAATGGCCAAACAAACAGTTTGTCCACATGCGCGCATGATATATTGTCATCGTTATTGTACTTTCTGTGCACCCGGGTCTATTGTCTGGACCATGTCTGTAATAGACTTGAGTTTCTTTTGCATTTAATAGGGGACATTGAACAATGAAGGACAAAAGGGTCCCCAATTCTCGAAGGTCCCCAATTTACGATCGTGTACAAAATATCTAGGGGGTCTTCCTAAAAAGTTAGTGGACAATAGGGGGTCCCCGATTGCAGGCAAATACACACTTGGGTGCGTGCTTGTAGACGAACTGTTTTTGACCATTTGTCTGTAAATGGCCGCCATTTCTTAATTTATGCTTTGTTATTTCCAATGCCGTTCTCACCATACACCACCTAGAGTTTGTACAGGTAGATTATGAAAATATCTTCAACATATCTTTTTAATCTGAAAAATGTGCATTTGAAAATGAAACATATGGCGCAGACGAGTTCTACCTTCTTTTTTTAAATTTCCAATGCATCTGGCCTATAAGCATTTTGGCCTTCGATTATTTTTTGAAGCGCTATGCAAATTCATGCAACATGCATGCAATATTGTCATGAATTTATTGATGAGATTTCTTCGCGTGGTGTATCGTAATAAAGCCTACAAAGAATTATTTAGAAATGCACCCTCACGTAAGCACTAAAACTCACCTACTTTGTTGGAAATTCTGCAGTCTTGTTTCGACAACACTTAACTTCGTGATGGTATACGAGTCACCATACGGTGACTGTTGATATTATTCCTACACGTAAGGCCATCACTCAGACTGACCCTTCGGACGCTAGATATAAGGAAGCTGTTGGAGTCTATGTGGAAGTAAGTACAAACTGAAATTGATATTAGGTTTGCCTGCTTTTCACCCTTTCTTTTGAAACTGAAATTTACAATAAACGAACAAGAAATCTCTTTATTATGATTCTTTAAACTAAAGGGAAATAACTGGAAGTGCTGAGGCCTATATTATTTTGCATTTCCTTTTGCTTGCAGAATTAGATCCAAACAGAGCTTTGTTTTTAGTTTGATTATAAATTAGCTGAGATTTAATGGAGTTTACAACACAAAATAACAGATGCACCAATAATGTTTTGATAGAAAAATGTGTTAGGTACAAAGAATATGAAGCTAATGTTATTTTTAACCAGTTATTAATTTGTTTGTTGTTTTGTTGTTTGTCTAGAGGATTTTCATGACAATCGCAAGGAATTCGGATATCAAGCTGGTAAGTTGTAATACCTAACGTTTTGCACAGATACAAGGCAACTAACTCGACATGTGGGCAAATAGACAGAAACATCTTTACACTAGCTAGGAGGGTTTAACTGGGTTATTTTGACAGTGAGTTCGTATTCTGCCTGTTATCTTCCATTTTAGAGAGTATAATATCTGAAAGAAATGGCTGTCGATGTCACCCAAATCCTGAAGTATTCAATGAGCACTATCTGTGCCGTGGCCGCAATCGAGAATCTCCTCGCGATTGCAGTGTTTGCTGGGACTAAAAAGCTCCGCAACAAATACCACGTCTTCGTCTTCAACTTGGCGCTGGCTGACTTGATCTTCTCCGTCCTTGCCGTAGTAAATCCCTGGCGGTCATCAAACATTCTCGACGGACTTCTCACCGGAGCTTACATAGTCTCAATTTTGACTATTCTAGCCGTTGCTATCAATCGTTATCTGGCCTTGTCCCTCATGCAACCGGCTCGCTACGATTCACTGGTGACTGGGCGCCGTCTGATCGGACTTTGTATGATTTGTTGGTGTTCAAGTTTCGTGTATGGTTTAGTGATGTACAATGCTGTCCCAGATTGGGTTTTGGATACAGTGCACTACTTTGGAGGTTCACTGGCAGGATACATTGTGTGGGTTATCACAGTGATTGTTTATTACCTGGCTTTCCGTAAGATCAAACAGTATACTCCACCTCTTGCATCCGCGGCAGGCATCAGTGCCAATGCGGAGCGCGATCAAACCCGAGTCAGGCAGACTCGTCGTTTACTGGTCATGTTTGTTCTCATTCTTGTGACGTCATTCGTTTCTTGGGCTCCTGCATTCGCGCTAAGGGTGATTGTATTCTTCGATCAATCTCTTTGGCGGGATAGAATCTTCTTGGCAAGTATTTGGGGGAGTTACGTGCTGTACACTCTCTCTACTGTGATCAATCCGTTGATATACTGGTGGCGATTGGATGGTTTCAGAGAGGGGTTTTATGCAATGTTCTGTCGTTGTAAAGCAGAAACTCAAGAAATCGAAGGTGACGTTACGACATTCGAGAACACAGCTGCTGAGACCGGTTTGTAAATGATGAAATATAATACCACGAACGGAGAGTCACAATTGTAGATCTAGGCATATACAGGGTGAGTCAGAATGATCTGGACCCAGGTTCATATTTTTTTTGGTAGCAAATTGAGTATATTGGTTTCCTTGTCTTCCACAGGAATTTTTAATTTTTCAAATTAGTGGCTGGGGTGAAGGGTTATGCCATTGAAGTGGCTTATTTTGCAGTCTGCACATGGAATTGGTTTTTCCTTCAAGGAATCTAGGTTTTTGTACACTTCATTGGTCATGAAACCGTGGTCAGCGTGTGTTCTTTGCAAGCACTTTTCTTCAGAAATTGTACAATGGATATACATGTGTACATGCAACTTTTACCAATAAATGTTCAAAATACCAGGTTATGGGGCCTGTAACATATCTCACTTGCACTTGTTTTGATCAATGTTATTATTTTTTAATATTTTATTAATTTGGGACCAGATCATTCCGACTCGCCTTGTATTAAGACATCTTTCGGTTACAACTTCCGAACAGACGTCTTTGCCGTGATGCTTTTTTCCATCCGTATACCTATATTCAGTTTGTACTTTCTTGTCCATCTCGAAAGGGTCAAGGGTGTTTTTTGTGTGGCAAATTTAAATGTATTAACGGCAACTCATGCCAAACTTAATACAGTCCTTACAAGAGATAGTTAGTATTTCGTAATCTTTGGTGTCTTGATGATCAAAGCCATATCGTACATGAAGAAAAAATACCTTTGCTTAAAAATTCATAAACAAAATTTATTCACGCATAAAAGATATTACACGTATATGCAGTATGTTATTGCATATCATTAGTTTGTTATTGTAATTATTGAATTAGTATTCTATTTGAATATTGTTAGTTTGTTATTGTAATTATTGAATTAGCATGTATATTATTAGTTTGTTATTGTAATTATTGAATTAGTATTCACATTAATTATTGAGTAGGATGGTTAAAATTCAAATCGATATGTATTGATGTAATTAAATGTGGTTATAGGTCTGCATTTATCATAGTCGCGGAATATCATTAGGCCGTTATTTAAAATAAATGGTGAAATGGAAGAAGACGTATCGTATTTTTAAGAAAAATCCCTTCTTCCTAAGCAATAAATGTGACAATATACGTTTAAAAGTGTTAATTTCCCCTTTTGATATATACTTTCAATAGGAATACGAGGTCGTTTTATAAATTCTGAATTGTATTGCTATATCGTTCATTCTGAAGTATTACAAAGACAGACATAATGTTGGTGAAATTACTGCATTGGCGTAGCCGGGTGGGAGTTGGTGATAGGGTGGGCGGGGGGGGGGGGGGGGGGGGGGGTTAAGGGGGTATTTACCCCCCCCGCAATATTTGGAAAAGACTGCCCTTTTCCATTTAAATGGCCGTTTTTCATCTGCGTTTACCCCCAATACTTATAAAGAGTGCCTCTTTTTTTGAACAAGTGCTTTATTTTTCTAACCAAGTGCCCTTTTTCAGAGAAAGTCGTGTCTTTTTTTTGTGCCCGCAGCCAATACGAGTTCCTTTTATTGAATTTCGCGCATGTGTTACTATTATCATTATTATTATTATTATTAATCATTTCTGGTAATGAAACCAAGGATTCCTCAAAAGCGCCCTAGGCCCTGTAGCTCGCAAGCTTAAGAAACCTGTTGAGAGAAGACAATGAAAAGAAGTTACAGTTTTAGAGGCGGGAGGAAAAGCCCAGAAGAATATTCTGGGGAAAACCCACGGAATCAGGCAGGGACTGAAAACCCAATCCACATATTGGCCCAGGCGAAATTCGAACCCGGGTCACAGCGGTGGAAGGCGGTGGAAGGCGAGGAAAGTACCGCTTCGCCAACCTGACTCCCCAAAGCAGGTTTCCTATAGATACCGGATATGTAGCCCGGCACGGTGTCGCCCTGAAAAGCGCCATATCTTGTTCGTTAGTGCGTATAATCGTCGGTTTTTAACAACGCCCCCATCGGCAGATGGTACCAGCCCCCCACTGTTTGATTTGTTTGAAAAACAAAAAAAACAAACCCGTGTCTACATTTCAGCAGGGATGTGCAAGTGCCCTTTCCAAGAAATTTTTACCCCCAATGATAAATGACCTTGCCACGCCCCTGTGCTGACTGTTACTGTGCTTAATGAATCTCCATTTGACAATATTTTTTTCATAGAGAAGCTGATTAGTAAAAAAGTAGCTCATTGTGGTAAGTTGGGTCGTGTAATATTTTTAAGCAGTCCTTTTAAATGTACCTTTTTATCCTTCCTAACCTTACTTTTAATTTAAATTTTGCCAATTGTAAGAATAAAACTTTCTGAGAATGAGCACTTTGATGAAATAATAACGTTAATGACAAAAACTGAATTTGGCAAACAATCAAGATACGCCGGTTTGTGGTGCGACCGACGATATGTGCATTCAAACAGGCCTATGTCAAATAATAGAGTTGTTCAAACATCACTTAATTTCAGATAACTTGTACCTTATCACATCCCATCTAGACAGTACTTTTCCTATTGTGAGCTCACCACAGTAGAGGCATGACACGGATCGTGTGCGTATAAACTGGCCAAAAGTTTATGGCTTTCAAAACATGATCGTCGAGACGCGCATTGCATCCGGGTATCGGTTTTACTGCATGCTACTGTTATATCCGTGCCGGGCTACATATCCGGTATCCATAGGAAACCTGCTGTTAATACAGGGCTAAAGTTCAAGTCAGTCAATATTGCAAGCCTACGTGCAGTGAGGCAGAGGTGTTATACCAGCTTCTTTGTCATTGTGTGGAACACTAAATAAAACTAGTACTTTTGGCCTCTGAAGGCGGTTTGATGTTGAATCAGCGCGAGGTTCGGATCGCTTTTTAAGTTGACGTCAATGACCTACACGTGGCGACATGGGTTTTTGTATTCAACTAAAGATTTTCAGCCTTTGGTGGCTATTGTTAACGACACCAGGTAGGTCTGTCATTTTGTAATTTCAACTGAGGATTAAATCAGTTCTTCCTTCCACTGAATTACACAAATTATTGCAGTTAATGCAAGATGCAGTTTTCCCTAGAGGCAGGGAATTTCTTTGCAGTCTAGGACCCAGTGTGTTTGTGAAAATTTAGTAATAGAAGGGCACACAAAGTAGGCCTATATATTTCCGTTGGTATTTATTGCAAAAAAATCAAATGACCTTTTGAAAGGAAAGAAATGGGACATGACAATTCCTCGAAGGGCCATTGAAATGACACTAGCTGTGTTTTGAATTGTATAGCTTGACACTCCCAGGTTGAAATAAAAAGAGACTTTCTTTGAATTATTATGATAAACTTGCTACAAGAAAACGTAGACGGCTGTTGCTCTGATGTCCGCAGTCACTCACCATACAGTTTTAAAGTTTGCTGTAGGCCTACAAGTTCTTAAGTTGATCCATTTTGAAGTAGTTCGCACAAACTAGGTCTCGCTCACTGACCATCTTGACCCGGCCTACATAATGGAACCGGAAAGTTAGTGGCGCCATTGCAGTAGGCAAAGATCGTATATCGCCGCGCGCAGTAGGTAGTAGTGTAGGAAAACCGCCAAAGCTGTGATTGATAGCAAAACAAATGTGAGAAATAGGGGAAGCCAACATCCAGTCGTCACGATTATAACACCCAAACACGGAACAGGTAGAGACCACTATGCCAATTGATAAAGAATTAGCGGTTATCTATAAGAGTGCATAAATAATAATATCCACAAGTGGTTGTTGGCTGTTTGGCCTTGCTTTAGCAGATTCAATGACTCCAAACTCAAAAATGATGTTCAAAAGATTATCTTTTTTCTCAAATTTTTTTTTGTTGTGGTCAGAAATTGCCTCAGATCGCACCACAGACATTGCTTTTCTATAACTGCATGTCTTCTCAACTAACCCCCATTTACATTTAACTCCCCACATTTTCATCCCCAACACTACGCCCTACCCGATCTATGATCGGGTAAAACAGCTTGTACATAAATAAGTCTTATGGTCTACTGTCCAAGTTACAATGAACGCCGTGGTTGGCTAACCAAACGCTTGCTAATTGCAATGGTGGCCGATCATGATGAACGACATGGTCAGGTGGTACTTAGCCGTCATACAGTCGGAACCTATAAAAAATATAGAAGGTAAGCACATAACTTACTAAACCGGACATAACTTACTAAATCTTCTCCATCTCCAAGCAGAGGAGGCAGGGGGCGCACTTCCGTTAGCCGCTGGAAGAAGTCAGAATGGGCACCGGGTGATTTGTCTGCCGTCCGGTACGTGTCAGCAAGCAGTGCAGTTTGCTAAGCAAAACGATCAGTGTAAGCTACATGTATTATCGTTGTTCTGTTATTTCAGCGCGCTCGTAGCAAGGATTTTTTTTTCGGGGAGGTGGAATAAGGGGGAGGGGGGGGGGGGGGGCGGCGGCGGCAATGGTGTTATAACTTGTAACCGCATTGGTGTTATAATTTGTCTATTAACAGGCGTCCCGGCTACGCCGGTGCATCATTTTAAATTAAAAAGCCCTTATAACTGGCATTTAAATGACTTTGGGTAAACAGTTTCTCTTTTTGTGGAAACTTTCTGTAATAATTAATTCCTTTTACTATATCCCGGGTTTGCAGCATTGCTTTAATGCTGCTAGGTTTTGCTATCATGGCTTTGGGTGTGATCGTTGCATGGTGACATGTTATTATACGCGTTTATCTTATCTTTAATAAGATTACTGTCTTACACCGGTGTTGTGCTCCGTCTTTCCATGTATGTCTGTCACTTGTCTGTCTGTCCATAGGCTGGGGAACAAAAGCTTATGCTTCACCCCGGACCTAGATGCTGCCATTTAGTTAATGTTCACTATTGTAAATATATATATATATGTACATGTATTGCCAATTTGAATATAAACATTATGTATCGTCCTTTATGCAGCATCGAAATAAATGTATGTATCTTCCTAATGGAAAAGCTAATTAAAGGATCGTGACGAAGACATTTTGGTCACTGTTCTCCCTCTGTGATGTAACCTGTGACTGACTTGTGTTTGAATTGCAATTTGGTCCTTTTTTGTACCTTACAGATGCGCCGATAGTGACAGTGGTCTACAGTAACGATGGAATCCAGTGCTCATCTCACGCCAATCCACAGGCAACGTCATATGAGATCATTCTGAATGGCACAATTATTCTAGAGACCTTTAACACAAGTGGATACTCCGTGAATTTTAATCCCGATTTCTGCACAACTGTTACTTGCAATGTCACAAACACAATTGGCACAGGAACATCGACACTTCTCGATTCAGTCTGCTCAGGTAGGCGTAGTCACTATTAGTCTGGTTCCAGCGTACATGGATTTGACTCTATAGTCCAGCCGATCCAGATCGCTGTCAAGCACCAAAATGAATCATTGACCAAATGAATCAAAGGACATTCGTATTTAAATCCAGTGAAGTCTTGGGAACTTTAGCTACCCACGAATTATATGTCTTAAATGAGAACGCACAGCACACTTGAGGTATTTGCCGAATTGTGCATGCCGAGGCCACGGCGAAAGTAGTCTGAACAAGAATTAGCGAATGGAGCGAAGTCATGATTGCTAGACAAAGTTTTAGACTTTTTTTGGTTTGTGACAAACATGTAGCACAAGATGGTCTGAAACTGATTTTAAGTCTCATTGATAGTGGCCAGCACGTCGATTGTCATGGGGGGGGGGGGAGGGGCTCGTGCCATATTTTCAATGGGGAGCGCTGATAAAATCCTACAATCAGGCACACTATTTTAACTAAAAGTGTACGAAATGCACCCTTCTCAGTTAGGGGGAAACCGTTCCCATGTAGGTCAAAATTTTACATTTTGCTAGTGCATTTTTTTTATGGAATTTTTTTTGGGGGGGGGGGGGGGGCTAGACAAAATTTTTGGTGGCCTAAAGCCCCCTAGCCCCCCCCCCCCGTAGAATCGTCACTGATAGCAACCAATAAGATCTTAGATGCACCTGTCCTCTTGTATACATGTGTGTAATGAGGTCAGGTTTTCGATCTGTTGCCAAAATTCCTAAGGTTTGAACTTGTTGAAGGCTACCTCTTCTCTTTTTGAAGTGAGTTGTTCCCTTTAAAATGTTTTACATTTGCATTTGTTTTTACTTAACTGTTTTTCCTATCGTTAAAAAAAAAATCTTATCAATAAATTAAACTTACCTGTAACTACAGACCTAAAGCTTCCAAACTGTTTCTATCTGTAGCTGAATTCCAAACCGAATCCAAAACCGCAGTGTTAGGTTACCATGCCGCATCTTTTTCACATAAAAGGCATCGTGGCTGCCGTAACACTAGTCTTTTCGTTTCTTTAAAGATCCAAATAGGCTAGACGCTCGCGTTATAGCTGGCATAGTCGTAGCCGTTGCCGTACTCGTAGGAGCTGTGGCTGCAGGGATTTTAATTGATCTTGTCAAAAGGCGACGTGAGGTAGTCAGGCGTAACAAGCAGAATATCAGGTTTGTATCAAATTCTATGTCGTTCACATTTTGATTTTCAAACAGCTTTTAAAATTTACATACATGTAGATAGGCCTACTGATTTTTATCCATCATTTGGTTACTTACATACATACATTTCCAATGACGTCACAGTACCTCTTACATCATTGCACAGGATTCACAAAGTAGATCCCTAATATTGGAAAATCCTGGAAAACCCTGACATTTAAAGCTGTCATGAAAGGTCATGGAAATGCCATGGAAGGCGATATTCCAAGAACAAAGTCATGGGAAAGTCATGTAACCGCACAACCAAAATGTGATATGATTTGTCATATTTGGCTATGACAGTCTTCCAGTTTGCATTGCGGTTTATTGTAAATATCATTTAGGCATGAAGGACAAAACAGCTTAGGAACTGGTCATGGAAAGCTAAATTTGTAATTGAAAAGTCACGAAAAAGTCATGGGATTTCATTTTAAGATTTCATTGGGAAACCTGATTGCATGAATGTTGGGGCGTCATGGGATATGGCTACCACTTCATTAGCCATTTTGTAGACAGGTCCGGCGGACAAAATAGGCGTTTGTTGGTTTGTGTAAACTGTTGGTTGGTTTGTGTAAACCAAATACATGTATCACCCTCATAATTATAGTGTCTGCAATATCACAAAAATACTTGTCTTCGCTCCAACGGAGAATTTAAACCGCATAAAACGTTTATCGAGAGACTCTACAGACAAAAGAAACCATAAAAACAACAAACAAACAAACAAACACCCCAACACCCCAACAAACCATCAAACAAACAAACCAAACGAACAAAACCTCGCCCAACCGAAACTTGTATGCCATTAAATGGCTTACTTTCTCACTGTGACGTTCGTGTGCAGCTTGGCCAATGGATAATGTATTTTTTCTTGATGTCGATACACGTCACGATGGTTGGAAGAGTCGAAGGCGACTCTCGACGACCCTCCCCAGACGACCTCTCGATGACCCTCCCCAGACGACCTCTCGATGACCTTCCCCTGTAATATTGTATTTGTTTGTCATTTATTTGACAGAGTTCACCAGTTACCAGAAGAACACCCAGTTGAGTCTGACCCGATCAGCACGAACAATCAGGATACATCAACACAAAGTAAGCCAGCTTCTTAGAGATGATAAACTATCGGAAAAACAATCCGAGAATAAAATATAAAACTGTAATTTATAATAACAAGTAAACTTTGTTTAATATAGTTTGATTCACAACTGCTGCTTATAAACCCCAAGATTGCGTCATTACAGTCCCTGATTCACTAAAAGAAATGGGTCATTTCTGCAGGTGCGGGCCTTGTGTTCTCGCGAGATCTCATAGTGCTCGAGAGCCGGCTAGGAAGCGGTCAGTTCGGGACGGTGTGGCTAGGAAAGGTACATGGGATCGAGGAAGATGGGAAACAAATAGAGGTTGCCATCAAGACTCACAATGGTGTGTTGCATTGACAACTAATTACGAAACTTATCTGATATTTCATTGAATTAAATTTGACATTTTTTTCAATATAGATTTCTTCTGTGCATCTATATGTCATTGATTGACCGACTGACTGACTGACTGACTGTCACTTGTGAGTTGTGACTGGTATTGTACAGGGACCAGTTTTACTAGGCCTGCATATTCATGTATGTGATGTAGTAACGGTACCATACGCCTCAAAAAGTGCATCTGTGCGGCGCTGCTTGTTTCGTGCATGTACTTTTATGATACAAAAGGCAACAAGTCAAGTACCATCTGAACGGCCAAATAAAGTTTCTTTTCCTCCACGTAACCACGACAGACGTACATGATACGAACCTATTAACCATCTTAAATTAATCGAATGGAATGTTTGAACCCTTTTCAAATGAGTCCCAATAATTTTTTTTTAAATTCTCTTTCGATCTTGTTTGAACTACGAGAATCTGCAGACAAAAAGGCCAGGGAGCAAATTCTTGCCGAGTTGGAGATGATGAAAACAGTTTGCTCGAATGGACATCCGAACGTAATAAAACTACTGGGCTATTGCGCAGAGACAGGTAGATGTGCGCGTAAAGAACTAAAAACTTCCAAAATTTTTCTTTAAGTAAAACAAAATGTAAGAGTGAGACACGTATTCTTCTAAAACTGGCGCTGCCGTTGCCGTATAGCTCTTGTTTGTGTGTGCCAAGGGCGGATCCAGAACACAATTTTGTGGGGGGCCAAATTTTTTTTTGGTCCTCCAAAAAAGTGGGTCAAAAAATTACGGCGTGGGGTTCGGGGCCCGCTTAAGGGCCCCTGGATTCTAGATGCTCTGTGGTGCGATCTGAGGCAATTTTCTGACCACTTTAACCAATGTTTTTTGAGGAAAAGATGGTGGTGTACTCATTGCCTGCCTTTTTTGCGATGTCACATAAAAAAATATAAAAAATTGGTTTCGTTTTTTTTGGGCCCCCTTTGGCCCCCCCCTGGATCCGCCCTTGGTGTGTGCATATATGCAGCTTTCGTTACTATTGATACTACTTCGGATGATGTCGCTGCTACTTGCTGATGCAGCTGTTGCAGCTTCTATTGTACTGTACTAGCTATTTCAGTCTCATCAGCTAACTATCGATTGTTGCTTTACTAATACCTCCATTTTGAGTGCTGCTGTTGTTTTGTTGCTGTAGCTTCTGCTGGTGCTATGCTGCTGCTGTTGCTATTGATGCCGTGGCTGTTTATGTCCGTGCATGGCTTCACAGTATACGTTGTCACTGTCTGTTCTCAGATCCCGTTTGGATCATCGTTGAGTGCTGTGCCAAGGGGGATCTTTTGGGAGTTCTGCGCGGGTTTCAGGACACGGACCTTGGCAAAGCCTACTCCAAGCGCGATGCTGATCCCAGCTCTATCCAATCACTATCCATCACATTACTCCAGTTTGCCAGGGATATTGCGAAGGGCATGACCTTCCTGTCCTCACAAGAGGTGAGAAACTAAGTTCATTTTTGCTTAAATCTAAATCTAAATCATAAATTATAGTGATTGAAAATCACGGTATAGATCGTCTTATCTCTAGTTGCACTCTGGAAATTTTTGAGAGAAAATGGACAAACATACGAGACTCTAGGTAAAGTAGAGCTACTAACATCAGCCTGCGTCTGATGCTTACATTAACTTGCAAGTTGGTCAGGCTTTCACATACAAAAGATTCCAGGTCTTCACTGCACTAAATGAAAAGACTCTTGCATGTCCTAGGGTTGTATTACAATGTATACATAGTAACAATGCATACTTGTGTTACAATGTACTTTGTAGAGCAAACACTGTTATAGATTGATGCAATTATTCATCCCGTCGAAGTAACCAAATTGCAAGTTATATTTCAAATTTTGGACTCACTTTTACGTTTTTCAGCGATAACAACCTCCTTCTTCTGGTGAAGAAGGCGGTTGATAATATCCGAAATTTCGTCAAAGACGACATGAAATTGAGTCCAGAATTTGAATTATAACTTGCAATGTGATAACATTTGTGTATTTGCTGTTTCTTTGTTTACTGCCAGTGCGTGCTGCGTGACCTGACTGCTCGTAAAGTGTTGGTGGCTGAAAACATGGTTTGCAAGTTGGCTGATTTTAGATGGGCCCTATGTGCCACTAAACCCTACGTGGACGAAGATGACTGTGGTCGCCTCGTGGTATATTAAAAATATTACATCTTTCTTACACCATCAGGCAATTTTCAGAACTACATCGTCAGCATTTAAAATGCATATGCGTCAGTGGTTCACACCGATCTCCATGTTAAAATAGTTAGAGTGATGTCACCGTCTGCCTTATAAAACAATGTTTTCTTAATTTAATTGCCATGTGTACCTTTTTGACTTAACCTGATTACTTTTTGAGAAAAAAATCTAAACTTAGAAAAAAAATTTGAACTTAGGCGCCAGTTGACTTATTTAATCTTTTATCGTAGTTACATCCTCCCTTTCGTTGGATGGCACTGGAGTCTTTCCAGTTTGGCAGGTTTTCAACGGAGAGTGACGTATGGTCTTTCGGAATCGTGATGTGGGAGATCCTGACGCTTGGTAAACGGATAGAGCGACCTCACTGACTGCAGGTTTTTTTTTTTTTATCGCAGATCAGTATTTCCTTTTTTGAAAATGCCTCGCAGAGAACCTATAGGCGGGTGAAGCAATATCCTGATTAATTCAGTAGTTTAGATGGAATCACTTTGGTTTTCGGACTCTTCGTGTCCCTTAAATTAAAATTACACCAACGAAAAACTTGCAGGTGACAAAAATTTGATGACAAATGGGCAAAGGTGGCAGCTTGATGACTCTGTTCTGTTAAATGTTTTAATGCAATTACTTGATTAAGTATAACTGTGGTCTGACGGCATTGGTCCTCTTTTTATGAATAAACATAATTTCCCGTCAAAATGCTTTACCCCCTAGGTTGTTTGGGAGACGTTCAGAAATAAATAAATATTGATCTACGGTTTTAAGATGAAAGACCAGAGACCTTGGCCATCATTGAGGGGGCTCTGTGAAATGACTATTGTTTCTCTCGTCTCCACGCCCTATTCGTGGGTGCTAGTGACTTCTCATATCGGATTTTTATGACTGCGTCAACACTAGCATGCTTTGCGACACCTGCACTTTCTTCACAAGAAGTTGTATCCCCAGGAGTTGAAACAGCAAAGTGTGTTTTGTATATATTTTCTCTACAATTAGCTTATCAGAACAGTAAATTGACCATCTTTTGCTTTATGTTTGTCACGAACCAAGAAAGTCTAAGACGTCGTGTAGCAATCACTTCGCTTCACCTACTCCAATGGAATTTGAGCTTTGATTGAGATTAAGTCAGGTCTCACTTATTGTCTTAAGAACATTTTAGGATGTATATCGCCTGCTAACAGTCGGGAATAACGGTTGGTTGGATTTGTTTTGCATGTGTTTGCCGTTTGGTTCTCAGTCCCAGTTGTTGTCTTAACCTTAGGTTGTCGACCTTTCACGGAAATGAGTGGTATGTCGCTGGGTGATCTGCTTGAGAATGGTTATCGTTTGCTTCGGCCTCATCACTGCAACGAAGAATTGTAAGTACACAGAAAACCTTTTAGACAGGTGGCTTATGGTCGGAGTGACCGACTGGTTCAAAGCACCAAACCTCGGAGAAAGATTCTTATAGCCCTAAGATATTTAGAGAGTTGACACCTGAAATTGTTCTGCGAAGGGTGTCTAATTTTCATAAATCGTAATAGCTGCCGTGTAATATATTTATTCCCATAGATTGTTTGGTATATTTCTATTGTTTATTTTTTGAAAAGTCTATTTTGGGGATTCTACTTACATATCAGTACTTCAATAACATTTTCTAAAGTATACCAGTGATTGGATAATTATGAGGATTATGAAAGATCCAAATGGATACCATTATACCCTAAAGTTGCGCTCATTCACCTATTCCCCATAAATCATTAAGTATAGTCTTGCCAAACATCGGTATTAATGAGCTTCAAATTCACCCACAAAGTTGCTTACTGGTACTGGCACAGTTACCCTTACAAGACTATTTATAAAAAAACCATGTAAACATTGACAGCATTATGGTATTTAGACCCAAAAACGAAAAAGGGGAAAACGAATGAGGTGTCCATAAATTGGGCTTAACATTTGGCAATGATTGTTTATAATTATACGTCAAAAGTTTTCTCTTACAGATAAATTTAATATAGGGATTTCCTTGAACTGAGCCGCCAATTGGCTATTTGTAGAAATGTCACCTTGGATAACATCTAGCATCCTAACGGTACATGGAAAACGTGGCCCAGTGGTTAGGGTTTTTGTCTCGTGATCGGACATTTAGAAATTCGCATCCTGCAGCTGCCATATATATTTATTATGCTGTGTCTATGAGCAAGTTTCTTAACAAGTCTTGTATTCGTCCATCCTGAAGTATATATGGGCACCAGCTTTAGCTGGGGAGTATTTTCAGTAGTCACATGTCGGGGAAAATTAAGCTGGAGTGGCGTGGGACAACTAGACGTACGTTACTTTTATATTACCATCCTTGTCACGGCTGCAACTTTCATGGTTCTGTACAAAGTAAATAATTAAGATTCATTATATTCCAAAGAGTTTCGACAGAAATAGAAGAAGTTCCCAGGCCTAAATCAGAATCTTTTGAAGCAGACATATCGTTGCAACCCCGATCTGTCAATTTTCTCTTGTATAGGTACGCCATGATGCGAAGTTGCTGGCAAGAAAACCCCCAGGATCGACCCACCTTCCTTAGTCTGTCGCAGCAACTGGATGAGATGCTGTCACAAGGTGAGGTTAAAGGAAACATGCTGTGGAAATTTCAGCTCACCAACACATTACTGTGTTGCAACAATACAAACAAGATCTTAATACTTGTTTTAATTGGAAGAGACCAGAAAGTTGGAATTTTTTAGTTATTAGCAAATCCTTCATCAATACAGTGCGCTATATTGCTTTTGTCACACAAGGAACTCCTTGTCAAAACTGCATATGAACAGTACAAAAATATGTCCTTACCCACACAACACAAAGTTGTTTAACATGATAAACGTGTAAAAAGTGGAACTTACTCCAAGAAATGAAGAAAAGTTTGTTATATATAGTACACAAAGCTATGGAGACACTACTGTTCTTCCATGAATATGGAAATTTTCAATGGCATAAAAACTAAAATGTTTAAATTTCTCCTTTTTTAATGCTACAAAGGAGGTGGAAAGTCATGTAATGAAGTCATAAATATCCTGTTACATGTTCCCTTTGAAAAAAATGTGTATCCGAAACTTTATGATGGCCAGAACTTCAAATACCTCAAATACCGTTGCCAGGCAGCCAACATTTTCTGGTGGGTTTGTCATCCTTATCAATCGCGTTTACGTATGCTGATAAAATTCCAGGTTTTGGTTACAAAACAAATCCAAATTTTAAAAACGGCATGGGTATGTAGCGTATATACTTTGTAAACAAAGTTAATGCGTCGACTACATATGATTAGAATTGTTTACATTTTCCCTGTTGTCAATAAAAGTGCCAATTAATGCTTTTAAACTAACAAATAGGCGTATTTTTTTCCCTCATTGAAACTGCAGTCCAAATCGACGCCGCGCCCATTAGCACTGACGAAACTCAAAGCAAACAGGAGACAGTATGTGAGAGGGAAAAAGAAGCGTGACTGCTACATCAACAAGTGTGAGGTGTGACGTCAGCATGCGGTTTGAAATGGTTATTTACCAGTCGGCGATGCTAATAGGACCTTGTCGCAAGATAGAACCATTGAACTTTTTGCTTGTGTTTAGACTATATTCAAGTTTTAAAAGTCTAACTTTTGATGTCAGAATTGTAATGGAAGTTGCCGGTCTAATGTCACGTTTGACCAACTGTTACATCTTGGAAACTAAGCATATTAACCTTTCTAGTCATTTTAATAGTGTAACATTTTTGCGATCATAACAAGACCTTCTTGGCTCTGCCTACCGTTACCGAAAAATCCCTGCTTATTATAGCAGACAATTCCGTGCTCACGCGTTATCAAGGAATTTTTGCTTCTGCGCATGCGTATATCCCGTAACTAAGGATTCTGCGCTCACGGGTTAGCACAGAATTGTTCTGCTAGCGCGGTTAGCACAAAATTTGTGGTAGCATTGATCATGCTATTCCGTTAGCAATAAGGGCAAGGGCGTAAATCCGGGGGGGGGGGGGAGATAATCCCCCTCTTACACACAAATACTTTTTGACTTGAGGGATGTGTCATTGGATCATCCCACAGATTTGTGTAGTGTGAAATAGATAAATGCCGATTCCAGGCTATTTGCTAACTGTCTCACAGCACTGAAAAAAATTGCAAATTTTGAGGTGTTTCCTAACTCTATAAATTGTACATTTGTAAAATGAACAGCGCCCCCTGTGAGTATAGAATCTAAGCCCCCCCCTTCGCTCGTACCCGCCCTGCAAACAGTACGCTTAAATAGACTGATGAGTTTACGCTCTGATTGGATAAATTTTGCGCAACCTGTGACCTGCAAGACATCACGGCCACGACCCTGCAAGGTTCGAAACGGCCGTTAAGACTGAGTCCGCACTCTTTATTCTCATTCATAAATGCAAATTTTTCGTTGAAAAGCGTAATAATGTAGGAAAAACTGTAAAACTTATCTGTTATGTAAATTTCCGTCACTTGCTTAGGCTCTGTTTGGAATTCATGAAGGAATTCAAAAAATGTGTCCACATGGTCCGCAATGAAAAAGAAATCACATCCAGTATTGAATGTGTACATTTTTATGCGAAAGTTTTCGGATAGCATTTGCGCGCATTGGCTAACTGGGTTCTTAAACAGCTGCAGCCAGATGTCTTTATACATAAGTCATGATAAATTACCCAGAATGCCACCCCCACTTCCTTCACAGGTTTCTGTGAAGCCCATCAGCGTGTCCCAGCGCCCTGTTCGCAGGCCGGGGTTGTACGAGCGAAGCCCCCCCCCTGCCCCAGCCCCCGGCTTTTCAACTTTTGACGGCCAGATAATTTTATGATTTTGGTCATCCCCAGGCACCCATGCCCCACTCGCTGATACGTACACACAACTGCCACAAGGCATATGTGGTATTGATTTAATAAATTCAGCCGTAGAGGGCGGCCTTTCGATTAGTTCGGCCAAATAATTGTCCTCTGACAACCTCACCTCAACCCGATAAACAATCTGGACAGATTATTAAAGACAAAATGGAAGGGAAGGAAGGGGTTCAACAAAATGTACTTATTCGTCAACTAGATTATATTTGTCTTCAATAGTAGGGCCTGGACAACATTTAAATTGTCGTTATTCGTGTAAATGAATTGGGGGTCAGTAAGGTCATTTTTTAAATTCATTGGTGCCAAAATCGTCACAACATATCATTGGAATTTGAAGTTGTCTTGAATTAATAAAACCTCTAATTGCAGACCGCAGTGGGGGCCACCAAAAATACCCTTTCAGATAAGTGCACCAGGGAACAAGTGAAGACGAATGTTTTTAGTGCGAAATTGTAGCCTATTCATTCCCGTTCCCACATTATAATACAAAGAAAGAAAAGGAAAGAAAAACGGCGCCCCTACCGGAAAATACGATCTAGCCCGCCCCTCCGCATTAGGAATTGGCAACAACCGGCCTGTGGGTTTCCCAGCTTTCTGAATCCGACCCCCCAAGAATTTTTTTGTGATCCTTCAGTGATTTAGCTGTCCAATCATTTTAATTGCATGAAGCAAATTTGTGACTGGGTCGATACATTTGTGGGAATTTCTTTTCATATCCTCATATTATGAAACCTGCATGCCTGATTAAAAACCCAAGTGGTGACCCAGCTGTAGAATTCAGAGGCGGGAGATTGGTCCATCACTGAGGGAGGAATGGAAGCATAACACAACAATCATCTAACCTCAAAGATTTCTCCTTGATTGACTCAAGTCATTGCATGCAATGATTTATTACACGATAATAATCATAGAAAGTACACAATGTCAAATAACAATCCCTGACATATTAAACTTTTATAGGGTGAGTAAAAAAAAAACCCAAAATTGTATTTCATATTTAACAAAATATGCAGCATCAAAAAACAATTACGACTGGAAAGACAATTTCATAAGCTACTTTTACATGAAAATATTACTGAAAGTGGTCAAATTTCAAACCACACAACAAATTGGTTTTTTTTGTGGACGAGACAGGTTTTAGGGTCATTGCGTTTAAATGGTGAATTTACTTGAACGGATTGAGGCATTTCAGTATTTTTCATCTAAAAGTAGCTTATGAAATTGGCTTTCCAGTCATTATTATTGTTGGTGCTACATATTTTTTTAAAATCTGAAATATATTTTTTGGGGGTTTGGATTCCGCTTTTTTTTTTACTCACCCTGTATTTGCCCCAAAATCTGAAAAAGGAGAATTGATCAGAAATGTTTCTGCATCAATATCAATTATTTTAATCAAATAAAAATACCGGAAAAAATAGCTCTACTTACATAAACCATATCAAAGCCACACCAACGTACTTCCGCCAAACGATGGGAATACAATATTTATATTTTACCAGAATATATGAATTTAAAATAAAATAAAATAAAGAAATCGACGAAGTAGGATTACCGTTCCGGATTACCGTACCGGAACAGGAATCTGAAGGTCATAGGGTCAAACCAGCTCCAGTCAATTTCTTTGTTCAACTTTCAAGTTATTAGACAGTTCTCCTTTGAGGTTTATTTATATGACAATAATACATTTTCGGTGCATGAAAAGATCCAGGTAAACTTCAAGTGTCTAGTTGTTAATAACAAAATAAGAAAAACAGAAACACAGTTACAGAGGCCATTTCAATACTCGGTGCTTTTTGTAACAAGAGTACAGTCACTGGTTGAAGAAGTGTCACGAACTATGGCAATTTTTTAGATATAAGAGTGATGTTTTTTTCATTTCGATCAATATCAGCAAACGCGAAACAGAAACCAAACTATCCAAAAGTCAGCAGATTATCTTGACTTGGAGTTCATGCCCGGGTGGCTAGTGTTTACCTTGTCGTACAGAGTTACACATTAATGATCACAATGAAAATCACAATTATGTAGTCTGTAAACCAGGGCTTAATGGCATATAGGAACATTTGCATTTCGTGCATTTTGTTCATTGCAAATGATATCACCATTCAAATTTAAAAGAAGAATATTCAAAACCTAACTTGTTGACGATCAAGCTCAGTGGATATTACACTTTAAAATAAAAAACCAAAAAAAAAAATCCCAGTGAAAACCAAAATAATGTTTCAATCACGTAACGAAATTTCGTCCAAGAAACTTATTTTCAAAAATCAGTCAATTGACTGATGGTTGGAAATCACATTTCTGGAGTTATTCTAAATGGCAGCAGGCAAGATTGAATGATTTCAAGGGTGTTTAATACTAGTAAGATCTTTCATCCTAGCAAGACTTTTAAGTATAATTTGATCGGTTACTTTTGGGATAGATGGATATGATCCTATATCCTTTAAATGAGTAAATTGTAATTACTAATCAAACTTAGTAAAAAGGTTACTTGAAGATGGAATAGATTCGACTTTGTAGTTACATTAGATGTACATTTTTTTTAATCAAAATCTACTTTCATGTGTCATGCCAGCAACATCAGTTAACCATTATGAATTCTAAGTTTTCATTTCCAATGTGAATCAAAACATTGATTCAAAGTGTACTTTTTTTTCTCCTGCATAACTACTGTTACCAGATTGAATGGTTGCATTTGGGCACGAACGACTGTTATCACCTGAGGAACTGCAAAATATAAAAACTGTTAGAAGCAAAAACTTCATTTTTGGCACTAATAAAACCTTGTTCTTTACAATTTATTTTAGTGTCAATCATTACTTTAAAGATTTATGATTATCAAAGTTGTAAGACTTCTACCTACATGTATTTCAATATAATCAGAGGCACAGAAACATGTTCGCGTAAACAACAACGGAAATGTTTGGTCTCGAATCAGCAGAAGTCACTGTCCGACAAAAATGCCTATTTTTTTAATGCAAAAGTAGGCCTGATACATGTACAATAATTGTCAATAAAATTTGTTACATCAATGTAAACTAATTAATTGATGTACACTGGATTGGTTATTATAAATATAGAACATGCTACTGCATTAAGCAATTGGGGGAAGGGTATTACAAAAACAGTCAAGGTTAAAGATCTGTACAAAAGAAGTTAGCAAGCGGAAATCACTACTTTTGGCATTTTATGCATAATAATTTATACAAATAATGTATAAGAATGAAGCACAAACGTCAAAAAGAAACGTGTATTTGAAGGACGTAAAGTTGCGAGAATTTTTCAATTTTGTACAAAGCTGTGGCAAATGATTTTGTTGCAAATATGCGTCTCTTTTGCAGTGTTAAATACCTTTTACGAAGTGCTTCTGTTGATAATTATAAACACAACACAAATAAAATGTGGATTTTAACTTTAAGTGCACCAGGTTTGGGTTACTCTGCATGCCAAGTTTTTGCATTGCACGGGTCTGTGGAAGGGTCAAGGGTGTCGTGTAGCCATTTGTGAGTTTGTTTGAATACTATAATATTGATCGGATAATAATCATGTCAGTAGCAGGAGGTCTTTGTTACAAAAGTTGGATGCATCTCACACAATTAGTCCTACGATCGCGATGTGATACAAATTATTTTCCAAACAAATGGGAAGTTGATTTCTCATGTTTAATTGGCGATTAGATTCTAGTGTTTTAATCAGGTATATTGATGTGCTGAAAGAGGTGATATTGGATAGAAAAAGTACTCAGAGGTCACCCAAGATACTGATATAGGATTAAAAATAATATCACTTTCAACTGACGCACATAATGTATAACTATGCCAAGTGCAACGAACCATTTCAATGAACCATTTTCTATTGAAATTGTTGTTTTGCTTACAATCATATTGATGTTATAAGGGGTGGGGGTAGTAGAATGCATAGCTATGTTTTCCATATTTGTGTGGATATTTAATAATCCGAATGAATCTATTTGTATTGAAACTTTTTTGTTGACTTTTTCAATCATTATCACATTAAATGTGATAAGGCGCTCGATAAATTTTATCGAGCGCCTTATTGTTCTGTGAAGTTAAGTTTTAATTATTTATGTAGGCCTATGCAGTTGTGTGTGTTTTTTTTAAGGGGGGGGGGCAGATCACTGACCTTACGTAAAATTACCATTGGTGTACGTGGTACTTGTTTCACTTTAATTCATAGGGACAGGGTGAGAGTGTCATGGCTTGGAATGAGATTATTCATTAGGCTTTCGGAAATGTCCCTCTTCTCTTTTCTTAAGGCCAGGGAGATTTTCACTGACAACTTTTCTGAGGAGCTCATGATCATCGAGGCCGATGTTACACAGTGACAGCGAACGGAACTTAGGGAGACACGAGAGATGATGGGTGAGAGCCCTCACTGCATCCAAACTGAATGCATTGTCATCCAGGTACAGCC